TAGGTGAGGTTCTCGTGAGTATTGGGATCGAAGAATCCCTTTGTGTCATCAGAGGGATCAGAGAGGATGTGGTTCATTTCTTCATCAAAGTAGCCACGTTTGTATGCTACCTCCACAGGCACACGATGACTGTGTACTGGGTCAATAATTCCACCAGTGGCTATCTGGGCTTCCAGGAGACGTATGCCATGATCCTTAACAATGAGATCTTTCTTCATAGCCTGAAAGAGAGAGATTTTCTCTTCAGTGTAGGGGTCCTTATAGCCAGTGACCCCTCTTTCGGCAGACACAAGTTTAGCATATATATCGTGTCCAATCAGCCCTGCAGTTAAGGCCTCCTCTACCGAAAGCTTTTTGTTCTGAATAGGGTCGATCACAAACCCTGTAGCTGCCTGTGCTTCAAGGAGAATCAATGCTGTTCCAGGTCTCAGTATACGTCTCAACATGGCATCATAGATGGTCAGCTTTTGTTTTTGGGAAGGATCAGTCTTTGATGTAACAAACACTCCTGCAATGCTACTAGAGCCTTCAAGATATCTCTTCACAGAATCCATCTGGGTAACCTCTTCTACAGTCTTGCTGCCCTGAGTCAGCTCATCCAGAGTCTTCTGGTCAATTATTTCTGACTGGAGCAGTTCAGAGGCCGTCACCTGCCGGCGGAAACCCTTAAACTTTAACTCACGCTTCTTTTCTGTCTCTTCAATTATTGTGATGATGATTTTCAGAATCGCATCAGCTGTTAAGGTTCCTGATTTGTATTTTTCTAGCAGTTCATTTCGTTTCTCCTCAGTGATATACTTGGAATAGAGAAGGAACCATGCTGAAAGATTTTGACCTTTGAATTCTCCAACTGTGACCTCTGTCAGCTTCAGCTCCAACTCCTGTTGTACCTCTTTCTCTCTTTTCAGTTTATCACCCTTTTCAGTCTCCTCAATTATTGTAATAATGATTCTTAAAATCTCGTCCTCTGTTAAGGATCCCTGTTTGTATTTCCCAATTAGCTTGTTTCTTTTTTCCTCTGTGATGTACTTTGAGTAGAAAAGGAACCACAAAGAAACATTCTGTCCTTTGAATTCTCCAACCTTGACCTCAGTGAGCTTCACTTCCAATTTCTTTTGAATTTCTTTCTCGGCTTGAATTTGCTGGGTCTGTTCAGTCTCTTCAATGATTGTGATAATTATTCTTAAAATCTCTTCATCTGTTAAGGTCCCAGATGCGTACTTTTGCAGAAGTTCCTTCCGCTTCTCCTCGGTAACATACTTTGAATAGAGAAGGAACCACACTGAAACATCCTGTCCTGTAAATTCTCCAACATTGACCTTGGTGAGTTTCACTTCCAGTTTCTCTTTAATTTCTTTCTCTGCTTTTATTTTTTGTGTTTGTTCAGTCTCTTCAATTATTGTGATAATTATTTTTAAAATCTCCTCATCTGTTAAGGTCCCAGATCCATACTTTTCCAGAAGTTCCTTTCGCTTCTCCTCAGTGATATATTTTGAATAGAGAAGGAACCACACTGAAACATCCTGTCCTGTAAACTCTCCAACATTGACCTTGGTAAGTTTCACTTCCAGTTTCCGTTTAATTTCTTTCTCTACTTTTATTCTTTTTGTTTGTTCAGTCTCTTCAATTATTGTGATAACTATTCTTAAAATCTCTTCTTCTGTTAAGGTCCCCAGTTTGTATTTCGCAAGTAGTTCAGTTCTTTTTTCCTCTGTGATGTACTTGGAGTAGAGAAGGAACCACACTGAAACATCCTGTCCTGTAAATTCTCCAACATTGACCTTGGTGAGTTTCACGTCAAGTTTCTCTTTAATTTCTTTCTCTACTTTTATTTTTTGTGTCTGTTCAGTCTCTTCAATTATTGTGATAATTATTTTTAAAATCTCTTTATCTGTCATGGTCTTCGATACGTACTTTTCCAGAAGTTCCTTTCGCTTCTCCTCAGTGACGTATTTTGAATGGAGAAGGAACCACAAAGAGACATTCTGTCCTTTGAATTCTCCAACAGTGACCTCAGTGAGGGTAACATCTAATGCTTGTTGGATTTCAGTGTCTTTTTTGGCCTCTGATTCATCAATTAAAGAAGCAATTATTTGCTTTAAAGTTTCCACGGTTGACTTATGTTTGATAAGCTGCTCATTACGTTTGTCCTCCTGGAGATAATCAGAATGGAGGATGTCCCAGAGTGACATTTTTTGTTCTTGTAATTGACTGGTTTTAACATTGACCTCAATTGCACTCAGGGCTCCTCGAAGTTCTTCAGCAGCTACTTTTACAGTTTCTCCTGTCTTCTCCTCCACATCTGTAACAATGACTGTGATGATTCTAATGATCTCTTCTAGTTGCAAGGTACCTGAGAAATACTTCTGTAAAATGTCTTCCTTCTTGCTTACTTCAATATGCTCAGAGTTGAGAAGGTCCCACACAGAGAGCTTCTGGCCCTGATGTTTGCCTTCGGTAACCTCCACTAGCTTAGACTGGAGAAGGGCCTTCTTGTTTTCTTCGGTAATATCTTGGACTGCCTCTTCCAGACTTAATCCATTCGCAGTCTGGCTACTACCTTGTTTTTCCCAGTCTTCAATGGTTGATGTAATACTTGAAATAAGTTCATCTACTGTTATAGTCTTTGATTTGTACTTACTCAGAAGTAATTGTCTCTTTTCTTCTGTGAAATACTTGGAGTGGAGGAGCACCCAGGAGGACACAGCCTGTCCAGCATACTGTCCAACATTAGTTTGAATAGTTAGTGACTGCAGACTAGTTTCAAATGTCTTTTCTGCTAAGACAGTCTGCTTGTCCTTCATGGTCAGCATGTACAATCCTGTATCTGGGTCCTTAACACATCGGTTAAGTAATTGCAGGTAGGTGAGGTTTTCATGAGTGTTGGGATCAAAGAATCCTTTTGTATCGTCAGTTGGATCTAAAAGGATCTGGTTCATCTCTTCATCAAAGTAGCCCCGTTTATAAGCTACTTCCACAGGGACTCTGTGACTGTGTACTGGGTCAATGATGCCCCCAGTGGCAATCTGGGCCTCCAGCAAACGAATACCATGATCTTTTACAATGAGGTCTTTCTTCATGGCTTGGAAGAGGGAGATCTTGTCCCCAGTATATGGGTCAGTGTAGCCTGTTACTGCTTTTTCTGCGGAAAGAAGTTTTGCATGAAGTTCGCCTCCAATTAAACCAGTGGCTGCAGCTTCGTCTACTGACAATTTCTTGTTGCTCACAGGGTCAACGATAAATCCAGTGGCAGCTTGAGCTTCCAGAAGACAGAGAGCTGTCCCTTGTCTCAGGATGTTCTTCAACATAGCATCATAAATCCTCATCTTTTCTTTCTTTGAAGGATCTTTGGGAGATGGAACCAATACTCCAGCTATACAGCTTGTTCCTTCCAAGTACCTCTTCACACTGTCCATTTGAGTCACCTGCTCTACAGTCTTCTGCCCTTGCGTCAATTCTCTCATTGTATTCTGATCAATAATTTTTGATGTAAGCAGTTCAGATGCAGTAACTTGTCTTCTAAGGCCTTTAAATTTTAAACTTCTACTACGCTCCTCTGTCTCTTGTATTATTGTGATGATAATTTTAATGAGCCCATCAATGTTGAGTGTGCCAGAGTTCAAATTCTCAAGCAGCTCATGTCTTTTCTCTTCCGAAAAGTATTTGGAGTTCAGTAGATCCCACACTGACTGTTTCTGACCTTTAAACTCTCCTTCAGTTACTTCAATCTGGATGGTCTGCACAACACTAAATGTTTCTTCCTTCAAATTGTATTCTATTTTGGAGCGAGATTGATTGCTCTTCTGATCACCTTCTTCAATGGACTGAACGACCAGCTGGATTATGTCTTCAAGAGTTAACTTGTAGTTCCCGAGCAGCTCTTGTATTTTTCCTTCTGAGATGTATCTAGAGTGCAGAAGTTGCCACACAGAGACCTCCTGTCCAGCAAACTCTCCTTTTCTAACATGGATGTTGATGCTTTGCAAAGCTTTCTGAATCTCATCTTCTTGTAAAGAAGGTTTAGGCTGTACTTGCTGCTGTTCTGGTTCGGCTGAACATTCAATGTCTACCTCAGACGCAGATTGAGTGATGATTGTAATGAGAATCGTTATAATTTCTTGTATGGTCAAAGTCCCGTTTTTATATTTTTCTAATATTTCATTTTGTTTCTCTTCAGTGATATAATGAGAATTCAGGAGCTCCCACACAGATACACGTTGTCCTTTAAAGTCCCCTACAGATACATCCAACTTTTCTGATTGCAGTAAAGTCACTTTGTCGGCTGAGTCTGTTGTATCAGCAACAGATTCTGTTTCAGTAATGAGTTTGATAACTATATTGATAAGTTCATCAATAGACAATGTTCCTGAATTGTACTTTTTCAGCAGCTCTTCTCTTTTCTCTGAAGAAATAAAAGAGGAATATAGAAGCTCCCAGATGGAAACATCCCTGCCTTGGAACTGAGTGTGTGTGACCTTGATATTTTTTGTTTTTAGAATATTTTCTTTCCCAGCCTGGGTAGATGGAACTTTATTCACGTTCACATCCAGCATATACAGACCAGTCTCCGGATCTTTGACGCATCTTTGGATCAGCTGCAAATAGGTGAGATTCTCGTGAGTATTGGGATCGAAGAATCCCTTTGTGTCATCTGAGGGATCAGAGAGGATGTGGTTCATTTCTTCATCAAAGTAGCCACGTTTGTATGCTACCTCCACAGGCACACGATGACTGTGTACTGGGTCAATAATTCCACCAGTGGCAATCTGGGCTTCCAGGAGACGTATGCCATGATCCTTAACAATGAGATCTTTCTTCATAGCCTGAAAGAGAGAGATTTTCTCTTCAGTGTAGGGGTCCTTATAGCCAGTGACCCCTCTTTCTGCAGACACAAGTTTAGCATATATATCTTGTCCAATCAGCCCTGCAGTTAAGGCCTCCTCTACAGAAAGCTTTTTGTTCTGAATAGGGTCGATCACAAATCCTGTAGCTGCCTGTGCTTCAAGGAGAATCAATGCTGTTCCAGGTCTCAGTATACGTTTCAACATGGCATCATAGATGGTCAGCTTTTCTTTTTGGGAAGGATCAGTCTTTGATGTAACAAACACTCCTGCAATGCTACTAGAGCCTTCAAGATATCTCTTCACAGAATCCATCTGGGTAACCTCTTCTACAGTTTTGCTGCCCCGAGTCAGTTCATCCAAAGTCTTCTGGTCAATGATTTCTGACTGGAGTAGTTCAGAGGCCGTCACCTGCCGACGGAAACCCTTGAACTTCAGTTCACGTTTCTTTTCTGTCTCTTCAATTATGGTGATGATAATTTTGAAAATCTCCTCAGCTGTTAAGGTTCCTGATTTGTATTTTTCTAGCAGTTCATTTCGTTTCTTCTCAGTGACGTACTTGGAGTAGAGAAGGAACCACAAGGAAACAGTCTGTCCTTTGAATTCTCCTACGTTGACCTCTATAAGCTTCAATTCCAATTTCTTTTGAATTTCTGTTTCACCTTTTGTTTCAGCATCCTCAATTAATCTTAGGATTCTCTGTTTAAGTTTTTCCACGGCTCCTTGGTGTTTTCTTAGCTGCGTGTTACGGCTATCATCTGAAACATATTTGGAGTGCAGTATTTCCCACAGAGATACTTGTTCATCCTCAAACTCTTCTGCTTGTACATGAACAGTAAAAACACTTAAAGCTGTACGGTCTTCATCTGTATCTGGTTGTTGATATTGCTTGGGTTTTGGAATAGAAGCAATATCATAAACTTGTTTTTTCCCAATGATAGCATCACTCTCTTCTACTTCTGTAATACTTGTAGTTATGGTTTTAACAATCTGTTCTAGAGGCAAGGCACCTGAGAAGTACTTCTTTTTGATTTCATCCTTTTTGCTTACTTCAATATGCTCAGAGTTGAGAAGGTCCCACGCAGAGAGCTTCTGGCCCTGGAGTTTGCCTTTATTAATCTCCACTATCTCAGACTGGAGAAGGCTCTTCTTATTTTCATTGGCAGTATCTAGGACTGCCTCTTCCAGGCTAAATTCATCCACAGTCTGGCTACCGCCCTGTTGTTGTTCCCAGTCATCAATGACTGACTTAATACTTGAAATAAGTTCCTCAACTGTTAAATTCTTTGATTTGTACTTATTCAGCAGTAATTGTCTTTTTTCTTCTGTAAAATACTTGGAGTGTAGAAGTTCCCAGGAGGACACAGTCTTCCCTTCATACTGCCCAACCTTAATTTGAATAGTTAGTGACTGCAGACTACTTTCAAAAGTCTTTTCTGCTAAGACAGTCTGCTTGTCCTTCATGGTCAGCATGTACAATCCTGTATCTGGGTCCTTAACACATCGGTTAAGTAATTGCAGGTAGGTGAGGTTTTCATGAGTGTTGGGATCAAAGAATCCTTTTGTGTCATCAGTGGGATCTGAAAGGATCTGATTCATCTCTTCATCAAAGTAGCCCCGTTTATAAGCTACTTCCACAGGGACTCTGTGACTGTGTACTGGGTCAATGATGCCCCCAGTGGCAATCTGGGCCTCCAGCAAACGAATACCATGATCTTTTACAATGAGGTCTTTCTTCATGGCTTGGAAGAGGGAGATCTTGTCCCCAGTATATGGGTCAGTGTAGCCTGTTACTGCTTTTTCTGCGGAAAGAAGTTTTGCGTGAAGTTCGCTTCCAATTAAACCAGTAGCTGCAGCTTCGTCTACTGACAGTTTCTTGTTGCTCACAGGGTCAACGATAAATCCAGTGGCAGCTTGAGCTTCCAGAAGACAGAGAGCTGTCCCTTGTCTCAGGATGTTCTTCAACATAGCATCATAAATCCTCATCTTATCTTTCTTTGAAGGATCTTTGGGAGATGGAACCAATACTCCAGCTATACAGCTTGTTCCTTCCAAGTACCTCTTCACACTGTCCATTTGAGTCACCTCCTCTATAGTCTTCTGTCCTTGAGCCAACTCTCTCAGTGTATTCTTGTCAATAATTTTAGATGTAACCAGTTCGGATGCACTAACTTGTCTCCTGAGACCTTTGAATTTCAATTTCACGGTACGTTCTTCAGTCTCTGTTATAATCGTGATGATGGTTTTGATAAGTTCAGTTATACTTAGTCTGCCAGAATTAAAATTCTCCAGGAGCTCACGCCTTTTCTCCTCTGAAAAGTATTTGGATTGCAGAAGATCCCATACGGAATGTTTCTGACCCTTAAACTCGCCTTCGGTTACTTCAATCTGCGTGGTCCGCACAACATTGTAAACTTCCACCTTCAAATTGTAGTCGGTTTTTAATCTACTCTGTGGCTTAGTCTCTCTGATAGAATTGACCACCAGGTCCATGATGTCTTGAACAGTCAGTTTGTAGTCTTCTAATAATTCTTGTTTGGTATCTTTAGGAATATATCTGGAATTTAGCAGATCCCACACAGAAACCTCTTGTCCAGCATACTGTCCTTTGGTGACATGAATACTGATGTTTTGTAAAGCCTTCTCAATCTCATCATCTTGTATAGAAAGATCAGGTTCCGCCTGTTGTTCATCTGGTACAGATATACTCGTATGAGCCAACTCTGTTTCTGCTGTTGTTATGGTGGTGATGAGCATTGTGATAATTTCTTGTATGGTCATAGCACCGGACTGCATCAGTTCTAATATTTCTTTCCTTTTCTCTTCTGAGATATAACGAGAATTCAGGAGCTCCCACACAGAAACACTCTGTCCCTTGAAGGCACCCACCAACACATCCACCTTTTCTGACTGGAGCAAAGCTTGGACTTTAGCGTCTTGATTAGCAGATTCTGTGGTGACAACTTTAGACACCGTCGTACTTTCTGGAGGTAATGTTTCCTCTGTTTCATTAAGGACTTTAACAGTTATAGACAGAATTTCCTCGATAGTTAAAGTACCGGATTCAAATTTCTTTAGAAGCTCCTCTCTTCTCTCTACTGAGAAGTATTTAGAGTTGATAAGCTCCCAGATGGAAACACGTTTTCCATGAAACTCTCCAACAGCAATATCAATAAAATTGGATTGCAATTTATTTTGGATCTGTGCTGGGGAGAACTTGCTGTCTTTAAGTTCCAGCATATACAATCCAGTGTCAGGGTCCTGGACACATCTCTGGAGCAGTTGCATGTAGGTGAGGTTCTCATGAGTATTTGGGTCAAAGAAGACTTTTGTGTCATCAGTGGGATCTAAAAGGGTTTGGTTCAGTTCTTCATCAAAATAGCCCTGTTTATAAGCCACTTCTACAGGGACGCGGTGGCTGTGTACTGGGTCGATGATGCCACCAGTAGCAATCTGGGCTTCCAGTAGGCGTATACCGTGCTCCTTTACAATTAGATTTTTCTGAATGGCTTGGAACAAGGAGATTTTTTCACCAGTGTAGGGATCATTGTAGCCTGTAACGGCTCTTTCTGCAGACAGAAGTTTGTCATAAATTTCATATCCAATCACCCCAGCTGATAACGCTTCATCAACTGCAAGTCTACGGTTTTGTATGCTGTCAATAACAAAGCCAGTAGCGGCCTGGGCTTCCAGGAGAACAAGTGCTGTCCCAGGTCTCAGAATACGTCTCTGCATAGCATCATAGATATTCACCTTTTCTTTCTTGGTGGGATCAAGTTTTAAAGGGATAAGCACCCCTGCAACGCAGCTGTTGCCTTCAAGGTATTGTCTAATGGACTCTTTTTTCGCAACTTCCTTCACAGTCTGCGAGTCCTTCTTTAAACCCTCCAGAATCTCTTCGTTGATAATTCCAGCATCAAATAGTTCCTTAGCGGTGACCTGTTTCCTCAGTCCCTGGAACCAGATGTCATTTTGACCCTTCTCCTTTTCTTCAATGACTGTTATGATGACACTTATGACGTCTTTAAGTGTTGAAGAAGTTTTGGTTTTATATAACTTGATGAGCTGTTTTCTCTTTTCTTCAGAGATATAGGTGGAGCTCAAAAGTTCCCACAAGGAAATATTCTGACCTTTGAATTTGCCACTCTTCATTGCCACATTGGTTTCTGACAAAAGTTTTTTGGTTGGCTCGTCGATGTAAAAGTAATCATCCTGTTTTTTAGTCAGTGGAAGCAAAGAAATTCCAGTTTTTTGGTCTTTGACGCATCTTTCCAGCAAGTTTTTATATGTAATTCTTTCATGTGTGTTCGGGTCTACAAATCCTTTCTTTCTAGATTCTGAGATGAGAAGGTAAAAGTCTTCATCTAAATAATCCCTCTTGTAAGCTACATGCAGAGGAAGTCTATGGCCATAAACAGGGTCTACAACACCCCCAGTTGCCAGTTGGACATCCAGGAGAGAAATTCCTTGCCCTTCTGGCACAATTCCTTTTTTGACGGCTTGGAAAAGAGAAATCTTGTTTCCAGACTCTGCATCTGCAAATCCAGTAACTGCCTTTTCAGCAACTGTAAGCTGTTCTTGAACATCGGAATTTACTAGTCCTTGAGACACTGCATCGGTAATGGAAAGCACTTGGTTTTTGATGGGGTCAATAAGATGGCCTGTGGCAGCTTGGGCTTGCAAAAGTAGTAGACCAATGTCTCTAGACAGAAAGCCTTTATTTATAGCCTCAAAGATGCTGAGGGTTTCATTGGTGGGCACAGATAAAACCCCAGCAATGCAGCTTGTTCCTTTCAAGTATCTTTTAACAGAATCCAGTTCAGAAACAGCTTCCACGGAAATTTTGCCTTCTTTCAGGCCATCTAATGTCTTTCGGTCAATTATGTCTGCATTGTACAAATCAGTGGCACTTACTTCTCCACAAATTCCTTTCAATTTTAAGTGACTGATCTTAGAGTCGTATTCTTCTATAACTGTAGTGATGCTGGAGATGAGCTGCTCTATGCTGAGTACATTCAAAGTGTAGAGTCTAACAAGCTCTCTTCTTTTCATATCTGTGATGTAATGAGAAGTCAGTATTTCCCAGATGGACACAGTCTGGTTGGCATATCTTCCAAAGTTAAGTCTAATGGTTCTTGACTGTAAGTCGGCTTTCATTTTATCAGTGATATAGAAGTAGTTTTCGCCTCTCTTCACAACTTGTAACAAATACAGCCCAGTTTCGGGATCTCGGATGCACCTTTCGACTAGCTGCAGATAGGTAAGGTTTTCATGAGTATTGGGGTCAAAGAATCCTTTATTATCATCGCTGGGATCTAACAGAATTTTGTTCATTTCTTCATTGAAGTAACCTCGTTTGTAGGCCACATCTACAGGGACTCTGTGGCTGTGAACTGGGTCGATAATGCCCCCTGTGGCAATCTGGGCTTCCAGCAGACGGATACCGTGGCCTTCAACGATAATCTTTTTTTGCATGGCTTGAAATAGGGATATCTTCTCCTCATTATATGGATCTGTATACCCTGTTACGGCTTGCTCTGCAGACAGCAGCTTGGCATGTACTTCATATCCTATTAGACCCTTCTTAAATGCCTCATCAACTGACATCTTCTCATTTTTAACTGGATCAATAATAAAGCCTGTGGCTGCTTGGGCTTCAAGGAGTACCAAGGCAGTACCGGGTCTCAAAATGCCTTTCAGCATTGCCTCATAAATACTCATCTTTTTGTTTGTGGCCTGAAGAAGAACTCCAGCAATACTATCCGTTCCTTCCAAATAGCGTTTAACAGTCTCCATTTCTGTCACTTCATTTATTGTTTTCTTCCCCAGGTTAAGCTCATCAAGAGTTTTCTTGTCTATGACCTCCGACTGGAAAAGGTCACTTGCAGACACTTGCTTCCGAAGACCTCTGAACTTGATTTGTGTGCTTGCTGCATCGGTTTCCTCAAAGATGGTGGTGACGGTTTTTATGATTTCCTGTAAAGCTTCAGAGCTGCTGGTTTTGTATTTCAATAGGAATTCTTTTCGTTTATCTGCACTGACGTACTCTGAATTCAGAAGTTCCCAGAGAGACACGCTTTGGCCTTTGAACCTTCCTGCAGTGAGGGTAACTGTAAATGATTTGAAAGCATCAATGACATGTCCTTCAGCATAAAAAGATGCAGTGTCGGAAATAGTCAGAAGCAGCGAGCCGGTCTCCGGGTCAGTGTAGCATCTCTCTTTCAGCTGCTGATAGCTCACTTTTTCTTTGGTGTTTGGATCAACATAGATTTTCTGGTCTGCTGTTTGTTTGGATATTTCCTCATCCAAAAAGCCCAATTTATATGCCAGCTGTTGCGGTACATAATGAAAATGAAGAGGATCAATTATTCCACCAGTGGCCAACTGGGCTTGGAGGAGTGGAATACCTTCATTCTGTGGTATTAGCTTCTTCTGGATTGCTTGGCCTAGAGATATCTTGTTTTCTGTGTATGGATCGGTGTATCCGCTTACTGCACTTTCAGCATTCAAGACTTTTTCATGAAGTTCTGGGCCTATGAGCCCTGCTTTCACTGCACTGTCGACTGTATATTTTTTATTCTTTACTGGATCTGTAATAAAACCTGTTGCGGCCTGGGCTTCTAAAAGCATGATGGCATTGGCAGGGAGGAGTATATTCTTTTTCAAGGCCTGATAAATGCTCAGCTTTTTCTTTCTGGATGGCAGATATACTCCGGAGATGGAACCGGTGCCCTCTAGACTTTTCTTCACCTCAGCCAACTGAGAAATCTCCTCAACAGATTTGAGGCCTTGAACAAGTTCATCAAATATTTTCTGTGTAATAATACCCAGGTCTAGCAGCCTCACGACCGGGACTTTTCCTCTGAGTCCTTCAAAATAAATGTGGGTGGTCTTTTTTATTTCATTCATTCTGACGATTTGCAGGATTTCAATGGTCAACTGCTGAACTGTCAGTTTCTTAGCTTTAAAATTTTGCAGGATCTCGAATCGCTGCTCTTCTGTAAAAAATCCAGAATGAATCAGGTCCCACACTGTGATGTTTCGCTCTTCAATCCTGGTGGCTTTCAAGAGTCGGCGGACTTCCTCGTCAGAATATATATTTACTATTGGGACCTCTGCAAAGTTTTGGGGCAATGGAAGCAAATAGAGGCCGGTTGACTCATCTTTCTGTGACCGATTGACAAGTTGAGAATATGTGACCTTTTCTTTGGTAGTTGGGTCATAGAATGATTTTGTGTCATCTGTAGGGCGAGAAAGATTTTCAGCTAGCTCCTCGCTAAGATAGCCATGCTTCTTGGCCACAGAATCTGGGAGGTGGAAGCCATGTATTGGATCAATGACTCCACCGGTAGCTAGCTGGGCCTCGAGAAGCTGTTTGGCATGCTTTTCTTCAACAAGGCCTTTCTGCATGGCTTGGAAAAGGGAGATTTTCTTCCCTGAAAATGGATCCTGGTAACCTGTCACAGCTTCCTCTGCAGAAGCAAGTCTCTCATAAATCTGTGGATCGACAACAGCTGCTTTGAGAGCCTCATCAACTGAAAGTTTCTGGTTATTCACTGGGTCCACTATGTGTCCAGTAGCAGCCTGAGCCTCTAATAGCGGCAACACAGTGCTTGGCAGCAATATATTTTTCTTTGTTGCTTCATAAAAACTGACCTTCTGGTTGGAGGGTTGGAGAATGACTCCACTGAGGACACCGGATCCCTGCAAGTACTTCTGAACTTTGTCCCTTTTCAGAGCATCTTCTACTGTAACTTTTCCTTCTAGGACTTGCTCAAATAATTCTTTTTCGATGATCTCATATTCCAACAGCTCATAAATGTTCACCTGTCCCCTTAATGTGGGGACACTGATCTCTGTCCTTTTCTTTATTTCCTCTTCAATGATGATGATAATTTGTTCGATGGTCAACTTTTTCAGCCTAAACTGCTGTAAGAGCTCTCTCCTTCTCCACTCGGTGAAGTACTCAGAGTTGATGAGGACCCATGCGGATACAGTTTGCCCCCTGAATCTTCCATATCTGACAAATATTTCCAAATTTCTGAAAGAATCCCTGATGTGCTCATTAAAGCTGAATTGTTGAGTTTTGCTGACTAGAGGTAGAAGGCAAAGGTTAGTTGAAGGCTCTGTAATGCATTTCTCTTTCAGCTGTAGATAGGTGAGGTTTTCATGGGTATTTGGATCAAAGAACCCTTTTGTGTCATCATCTGGATCTGAGAGTATTAGATTCATTTTCTTGTCAAAATAGCCTCGCTTGTAGGCAACTTCAACTGGGATTCTGTGGCTGTTTATGGGGTCGATGATGCCACCGGTTGCTATCTGGGCTTCAAGAAGCCTAATGCCGTGTTCTTTGACAATTAGGCCCTTGCTCATTGCTTGAAAGAGGGAAACTCTTTCACCTGTGTATGGATCTTTATATCCGGTGACTGATTTTTCTGCTGACAAAAGTTTTTCATAGTAGTCAGGGCCGATAATATTTTCCTTGAGAGCCTTATCCACTGAATACTTCTTATTTTTCACTGGATCAATGATATAGCCTGTTGCTGCTTGAGCTTCAAGGAGAATCAAGGAGGTCCCAGGTCTTAGGAAGCCTTTTCTCTTTGCTTGGTAGATGCTGATCTTTTCCTGAGTATCTGCTAAGAGTAGTCCACCAATGCTTCCAGTGCCTTGCAGGTATTTCTTGACCATGTTGATATTCTCCACATCCTTTGCTGAAGCTTCACCTTGCTGCAGTTTGTCAAACAAGTTCTTGTCAATAATTTCCGAATCCAGCAGCTGCCCAGGAGTCACAGATTCTCTAAGGCCTTCAAATGTGACTTTGGTGGAGGATACCACTTGTTTAATCTCCGCTTCAACTTTTCTAGACAATTCTTCTACTGAAAGAGTTCCAGCTTTGTAGAGTTTAATGAAAGATTGCCTTAGCTCAAAGCTAAAATATTCTGAAAAAAGAATTTGCCACAAGGAAACAAGCTGTCCTTTAAACTTACTAAATGTAAGTGTCAGTTTTATTCCATTTAAAACCACTTTGGTCTTATAATCTATGAAGGAATGGGAGATTTTCTGTGCATCCTGAGCATTGTCAAACACAGGAGTCAGGTACAGTCCAGTGTGAACATCGATAACGCTCCGTTCCAGCAGTTGCTCATAGGTAACATTTTCTTTCAAGTTTGGATCGGAAAATCCCTTCATGTCATTGGTTTGAGTGAGCAAAATTTTGTTTGTATCATCATCAAAGTGACCACGTGTGTAAGCCACCTCTACTGGAACACGATGCTTCTTTGATGGGTCGATGATTCCACCTGTGGCAAGTTGGACGTTCAGAAGATGGATGCCGTGATCTTTTGTAACAAATCCCCTCTTTATGGCTTGAAATAATGAAAGCCTCTCTCCAGAAGAGGGATCTTTGTAACCCGTGGATGCCTTTTCAGCAGACAAAAGTTTCTCATACACCTCAGGTCCAATCAAGCCATTTTTTACTGCATCGTGTACAGAAAATTTCAAGTTCTTTACAGGGTCTATCAAATATCCAGTGGCAGCCTGAGCCTCCAAAAGAGCAATGGATGTTCCCGGCATGAGAAGGTGTTCTTTCATTGCATTATAAATGCTTTTGATCTCATTGGTAGAAATATCTACCACTCCAGCAATTAAACCAGTTCCTTGAAGATAGCGCTTCACTTTCTCCTGTTCAGAAACATCTTGGACGGACAGTTTTCCTTGCTGGAGGTTTTCATATGTTGTCTGGTCGATGATCTGAGACTTCAGTAACTCATCACTTGCAACCTTTCCCCTTATACCATAGAAGGCAAATTTCAAAGGAAAGAAGTACGTATTTGAGTCTGGATCAAATGTGGCCCTGCATATGAGCTCCTGGTAAGTAAGCCGGTCATCAGTGTTGGGATCCAGGAAACTGCGAATTATATTAGCAGGGCTAGATATCAGTTTTGCTGTTTTTTCATCCAATAAACCTCTTTTATAGGCAGTTTCCAAAGGAACGTGGAAACTGTGGAATGGATCAATAATGCCTCCTGTTGCCAGCTGGACTTGAAGAAGATTAAGGCCCAAGTGTATGTCAATCAGCTCTTTCTTTATTGCTTGAAACAGGGAGATCTTTTTCCCGGTGTATGGGTCATTAAACCCAGTGACTGCTTGTTCAGCATTGAGTAGCTTCTCCTTGAGGTCAAATCCTACCACTCCTTCTTGAATAGCTTCAATGACGGTGAAAGTTTTTTTCTTCTCTGGATCTACGATGAAGCCTGAAGCTGCTTGAGCTTCCAACAGAGCAGTTGCACAATCGGATGGAAGAAAGTTTTTCTTCAAAGCCTGATATATACTTATTTTCCCTTTTGTGCTGTCTATGCATACTCCTCCAATGCTGGACAACCCATTGAGATACTTCCGGACCTCCTGCAGTTCTCCCACCTTCTGTATGGTTTGTTTGCCGTCTCTGATTTCATCATACTGAACCTGGGTAATTATGTTGGCCTTGAACAGTTGCTCCAAATTGACAGACTTCCTCAGACCCTGCAAACTTTCCTGTAGAGTCAGAAGTACCAGTCCAGTTCCGGAGTCCGTAAAACCTTTGGACAGAAGTTTCTGATAGCTAGTATCTTCCTTTGTATTGGGGTCAGGATAACAGCTGGAGAACTCTGATGGCCCAGTAAGGGTTTTGAACAAATTCTCATCTATGTAGTTAAGCTTCAAAGCTTCAGAAAATGGTACTCTGCTTCCAGTCAGGTAGTTGATAATTCCACCGGTGGCTGTCTGAGCCTGTAGCAAACGGACTGCATCGTGTTTCCCAACAAGACCTTTCTTGAATGCCTGAAAGAAAGATATTGTTTCTTCTTTGTGTTTGTAGCCTGTCGCTGCACTATTTGCAAGCAGCAGTTTTTGTTGATACTCTGGCCCAACAATCCCTTGTTGAATAGCTGCCTCTACAGTGAGTTTTTGATTGCTTGATGGATCGATGATGTGGCCGGTAGCAGCCTGAGCTTCCAGAAGAGCCAGAGCCACCACCTCAGACACAAGCTTCTTCTGTAGGGCTTGGTAGATGCTAACTTTCTCCTTTGTCTGAGACACAAAGAAGCCACCAATGCTTGGGGTGGCCTTGATAGGTTCAGCAGCTTGCACGGTCTCCTGGTGGCACACTGATCCATGAACTTGAGTGGTGACATGGTGGCTCTTTGATCCAAGTAAGTGGGTGATAACATGGTGTCCCTTGGACTCGTGATGGCTATGAGAACCGGATGCATGACCAGACTCGTGATGGCTATGAAAACTGGCTCCATGACCAGACTCATGACGGCTATGAGAAATGACTGCATGACCAGACTCATGATGGCTATGAGCACCGGCTGCATGACCAGACTCATGATGACTATGAGCACCGGCTGCATGACCAGACTCATGATGGCTATGAGAACTGGATGTATGGCAGGACCCGTGATGGCTTTGAGAACCGGACCCATGAGACGATTGTTGATGGCTTTGACAAGATTGAGTCTCCCCCTTGCCAGCCTTCTCTTTGAGAGGACCCCCGGTATGCTTCGTGTGTGAGTGATGACCTTTCCGCTCCATTGTTGTGGCCTGTGACAACTTTACTCCACGCTCTTGTCAGAGGTTTTTTTCAGATGCTGTAAAAATACAAATAAATAAAAGAATAAATGTTATTTTTATGTAGGACGTGTACATTGCGCCATTAAATATTCATATGTGTCCTATCAGATATTGCTCACACAGTGCTAACACTCCACCTCTGTGACAGTCTGGATAGTGTGAACTTTGGCAGAGGTTATTCTCAGTTGTCATCAATTATATTTGTGCAGGCTCTAAAAGCAGCTATAGTACTTTAGCTAAGCAGGGATGTTAAAGAGACACTGTCAAAATTTCCATGCAGAACAAAGTGGCAGTGTCTCTCCAAAGGGCCCCTCTGATCCACATATCAGGGATCCCTCACTGTACCTTCCTCCTCTGCAACCAAATTAAATGACTGGTGATGGCTGCCCAGGGGAGTGGTGACATCACTCCCTTGGCTATGTGACAGTGCTCGAAACTAGCAATTGACTGCTAGAGCCAAGTAATTCCACAGGGGAGCAAGTCACACTCTCACCATAACTGGAAATGGCAGGTATTGTAGCCAGCTGCGTAGAAGGAAGGAGTGGTGAGGGAGCACTGGAAAGGGGAGTATAAGGAAGGGGGGCTTTGCAGACATTGTATGAAGAGAAATGTTTGTTGCACTCCTTATCGGACAACCCCGAATATGGGGAAGGGTACTTTGAATGACAGCGAATGGCGCCGCCAATTGCAGACTATATAGAGATGTGTGCTGGTGACCAGTGGCGTAACAATCGCCATAGCGACCCAGGCGGCCGCTATGGGGCCCGGGCACAGGGGGGCCCGGCCAGGGCCACCTGGGTCGCTATGGCATATGGGGGTGCTGGCTGTCACAGACACAGCTCAGCAGCGGTCATGGCGCATTTCTCCTCATAGCCGCTGCGGAGCTGTGTTAGTGACAGACAGCCGCTGCGGCAGATGAGGGCGGTGTTTGGAATGGAGGAGGCGGAGCCGCCTCCTCTTACATCACTGCCCAGCGACCTAAGAGCAGGTGGGGCCAGTGATGTAAGAGAAGGCTGGGCCCGTCGATAGCAGAGGAGGCGGGGCCCGGGGACGGAACAGGAGTCGGGGCCCGGCAACCACAGAGGCGCTGACAGGTAAGAGATCTCAGACCCTGCAGAGCCCACTATAGTCTATGGTGGGCTCTGCAGGGTCACTCTACGCTTGGGCTCTGCAAGTGGCATAACTAGCAATCACGGGGCCCCATACAAAATTTTGCTATGGGGCCCTGTGATTTCTAGTTACGCCCCTGCTGGTGACATCTCTATATTCTTTGCAGACATTGTCACTTTGCCCTGCATGGAGAAGGAGAGAGTTTCTCTTTAAAGCGAACCTGTCAGAACCTGGTTTAGTCAAGGCCCCGGTCCAGTGGTGGGCAGAGACAGGTTGAGACAGAATGGGTCTTAGATAAAGTAGCAGCTTTAGCCCCCTCATCCTTTGGACTGCTATTGATAAATTACTGCAAGAGGCACAGAGAACCCTGTCTGCATTGGCCCCATCAAACATCAACTGTCTACAATCTATCCGTCCTAGTGTTGTGATAGACAGGTGCACAACTTTCACCATTTGCACCATCCCCTTATTTATTGCACAATAATGAAGGTCATAGTTGGGCCCCATCTAGAACATCCACTGGACCCAAGGCTTCTCCCTAGGTTGCCATGTGGATGATCTGATTCTTGTTGTGGTGGTGGCTACCACTAGTGTGAATGGGCCCTCAAAAACACTGACAGACACACACAACAACAGACACAATCTCACACACACACTCCAAAAAAAAATGTAATTTTTTTCCCTTTTTTTAAAAATCCACCCAGTCTACCTACCTCACGAGAACTGGAGTGGATCCTCAGCCTGAGATCCAGTGTGGACTGCTGTGCGGTGATGGAGCTCCATCGATATGTGCATTGCTTGTACAGCTATAGAGCTACAGCCTATAGAGGTGCCAGGAGCCAGAATGTGACATCGCTCTGGTCCAGGTATCGTTACAGGACACGCGAGGGTGCTGTAAGCAATGCACTTATGGATAGAGCCCCCTGGCTGCCATAGTCCTAGCACACCGCACCTCAAGCTGACACTTGGCACCGGGCAGCATATTTTGAATGGCTGCTCAGCGCAAGAACTGACAGTGCTGAGGAGCCTTTCACCTAGAAAAGTGGAAGGCACACGGGGACCAACTGAGCACGGGGTCGTGACCCACTTTTGGGTCACAACCCACCAGTTGAGAACCAAGGCTTTATAGCATTGACTTTGCTTAGTGAACAGCCTCAACCATTTGGTTTCAGGCGATCGAGTGTCAGAGATCTCAGCCTGTGTCATATAATCTGCACAGAGCATCACCACTTTCAGTAGAAGCCTACGAACAATCCAGTGCCATGCAGGTCAAAGAGTAGGAGCTGCAGAACGGGACTGGAGGTCCAATTTAGATAAATTGTGTAAGCCAGAAATGTAACCGCTTGTCAACTCGATGCGAAGGAGTCCGCCGAGCCCCCTTGGCAGTGACTGCCGTAACCAAAAGCCTTATCTGGGGATCTTTCTTATATCACAATATTACAGCAGGAAAGTAAGAAGAGAAAAACTGTATAAAAGTGTCAAAAAGGATAAGTTATAGAACTTCAATACAAATCAAAATAGATACACGGTGCAGCACCAGACACATTTCTTCACTGAGAGCTACTGACACCTAGATACCCCGTAAACAGAAACTCGCTCAAGATCAGGGACAGTATACCAGTGACGTGCGGTACCTCTTGCTCCGGGCGAGGCATTCCCCCGCCCCCCGCTGGCCGAAGCCCCACCCCGTCGGACGAATCCTTGCCCCTTGTCAGGCGAAGCCTCGTCCCCAAACAGTAGGAAGAGAGGAGACAGGGAGGAGCCTCCCTGTCCCTCACTTGCTCCTCACTGCTGAGGCACTCCGTCCATGACAGGTTACACAGCGGGGAGGATTTCAGGTGGTCAGGGTAGACGTGACCCCTTACATTGGAGGTCAGGGTAGAAGTGGCCCCTTACACTGGAGGTCAGGGTAGAAGTGACCCCGTACACTGGAGGTCAGGGTAGAAGTGACCCCGTACACTGGAGGTCAGGGTAGATGCGACCCCTTGCATTGAAAGTCAGCAAGGAATTGCCCCCTTTCATTGGTGGTCATTGAAGGCAAGAGCTCAATTTGCCCCTGCTCAAGGAACCCCTGGCACCCTCTGGGGGAACCCTAGCTGAGAAACCCGGTTCCAAAGACATGCTGGAAGATTAATTGGCTTCTGTCTAAATTGGCCCTATATGTATGCTTGTGAGATAGTGACCTTAGATTGTAAGCTCTTGAGGTCAGGGACTGATGTGAATGTGCAGTATGTAAAGCGCTGTGTAAATTGCCGCTGCTATATAAATACCTGAGATAAATAAATAGATAAATAGTTGCTATGTTACCGCAATGTGCATGCGTGGATACAGCCGAAAGTCTCCTGAGGTGTAGTACTGTAACCTGAGCACTGGGTGGCGCTGTCTGATCAGTGTTGGATGGATGTCGCTGCCATCAGTTTATTGCAGGAAAGGCGTTCCCGTCTGTGATAGTAAATGTTATTTCCCGGAACTGCTACTGTTGACCCCACTTATCTCTATAAATCAGCTTAAAGGAGAACTATGGGGTTAACACTTTTCCCCATAGTTCTCCTTAGACATTCCAGTAGGAATGCACCGATACTAGTATCTGTATCGGTGCCGATACCGAGGATTTGGGTGAGTACTCGTACTCGCCCGAATGCTCCGATACCTTTCCCGATACCGGAACTTCCGGTCAGAGGGAGATTTTCTCTGACCGGCAGTGCCGCGTGGAAACATGGAGCCGGGAAGCAGGCCCCATGCTGTTTGGCCAGCTCGATGTCAGTGTCGAGCCGGCCAAACAAATCTGATAATATGGCGACGCGACCCCCATCCTCCAGACAAATAATTCCCCTCACATAGATCCTTAGCAGCATTCATTACCGTACCAGTCCCTTGGCCACCTGGGCAGACAGCGCTCTCCCGGATCTGCCCACGTCTCCTGTGTGTACAGCGTCCACGTGATCGGCCCTCAGCCTGCTACTGCGCATGCACAGGATTTCTGAATGAGAGCGCTGGGCAGTCTGCGCATGCACAGTAGCAGGCTGAGGGCCGATCATGTGTGCGCTGTACACACAGGAGACGTGGGCAGATCCCGGAGAGATTGGAGAGCGGTGAATGCTGCTAAGGATCTATGTGAGGGGAATGATCTGTCTGCAGGGTGGGGTCATGTCACCATATTGTCAGATCTGTCTGGCTGGCCTCGATGCCGATTGGCTGGGAAGCCGGCTTCCCGCCCAATCAGCATCGAGCCGGCCAAACAGAATGGAGTCGGCTACGGGAAGCCGGCCCCATGCTACCGGAAGTACCAGTATTGGTACTCGGTATCGGCGACTACCGAAATATTAATATCGGTACTCGTACTCGATACCGAAAAAACGGTATCGGTGCATCCCTACATTCCAGAATCATTACAACAAAAGGTGTTCAATGTTTTACCATTCACTTTCTTTCTAATGCAGCTGCAGCCTGACTTGAAAAACTTGCCCCCCTACCAGCAGCTGCAGACATTGACCCTTATTCCCTGTGTGGAAGCAGAGGTCCCTCTGCAGAGGTCCAACGCACCCTCCTACTGAGTCACAGCTAGAGCTCCCCAATCAGCAGCGAGCATGAGCTTTGGCGATTGCAGAGCTATGGGTCAGACTCAACATGCTGGACCTCTGCAGAGAGACCACTGCTTCCCGACAACGAGCAAGGGTCCATC